ATACCACGACTGAGGTGTCCTTGAGCAAGGCACCGAACCCCCAACTGCTCCCCGGGCGACGCAGCATAAATGGCTGCCCACTGCTCCGGGTGTGTGTTCACAGTGTGTGTGTGTTCACTGCTGTGTGTGTGCACTTAGGATGGGTTAAATGCAGAGCACTAATTCCGAGTATAGGTCACCATACTTGGCCACATGTCACGTCACTTTCACTTTCACTTTCATACAGGACACGTTTGCAGTCCGCTACTGATCCGCGGCACAAACAAAACATTTATCCATTATATTGATTTCGAATCCAAACATTGTTACTGAAAATTATTTTTCAGCGTTGTAAGTCTCTTTTTACACAGTACAGTAATACAATCTTTCATAGATGTAGCACATTTAAACGCAATAAATATTATTCAATGCGGTTTTACTTATAGATTTATATAATAAGTTGCTCAAGCAAGTATAACTACTACCTTTAAACGTAAGGAAAGTAGACTATAGGCTGTCACAAACATTTTAGTACTACATTTCCGTGTCAATCCTTGTTCATTTTTACCACGAACAATGTGTTGTTCAGAGCTTGCAGCACAGCAAAAATAGACTCGGTGCGGAAACGATTGCTGCACTGCTGCAGACGCGCCGCTCCTGGAACACACTGTCAGACGGCAAAAGGTTAACATGGGTGCAGAAATAAATACGCTCAGCATACGTACTGCAAACGGAGTATGTGTGAACCTGGCGTCACTGTGAGGAATAATGCTTTTTTTTTTTTTTTAAATAAATATAAAGATACAGTGTGTTCATGTCTGTTCGCTGAATGTGACCCACAATCTCTGACTCTCCTCCGTGGCCATGGAAAAATTCATATTTAAAATGACAACAATCCTACTTCGTCACGAAAACGTTTCCAACAAAGAAATGGATGTACTTCTGTCAGTTTGTTGAACAGACTTTTATTTGGATATTCTGCCGTATGACGCTGAAGCAGCAGCGAGCGTCCAGCGGGAGACACTGTTTTCACTGTAATCAAATCAACATTGTAAACCAAAACGGCGTGATGTAGCTTCACATTCTCTATAGAAGAGCTCTTTTCATTCATTTCCTCCTGATTATTTTCATTTTTCATTTGCATTTTGCTCTTTTTTTTTCATCCCATGAATAATTGACTGAATGCTCTAAGAATCTCTGGTTTTTCTCCTCAAATCTTCACGTCTCTTTCCAGGTTTATTTTCATCATATGCTTTAAAATGTAATCGTCTCTTATTCATTTCTGATCTCTGTTATCAGAGTTTACTGGAATGTTTCTAAAGCAGGGAAATATAATATCTGTTATCTGTCAAAATTATGGAAATCATGAACATTTCTGATTCAGATGCATTTTTGATAGTACAGACCAATATTACCGTGTTGATTTCGTGGTCTGGTTTGAGACTCAAACACGCGTCTCACCGCTGATGTTTCTTCAAGCTCTTGTGAAGTTCAGGAAGAGATTTTATTGCTGCAGAATCTCTGCGCTTCAGACCAGTTCAGTCTTTGAGAAACACCTGAAAATAAAGAAAAAATGAAAGATAAAGATTAAAAACCATAAAAATCCCACAGACTTACATTGACGAAACTCCCAGAATCCCTTTAGACTCAATCAAGCCTAGAACATGCTAAATCATTCCAAAACATGCTAGCAATGTGATAATAATGTTAGCAACTGCATAGCGAGACCCTAGCAACCACC